TGTTCGACATTTTCTAACTTTCGCTAGTTGCACACACATTTTCACTGAAAGGATTGGTACCGACACAGGTCTGACTCCGCCCACTTCTCAATGAAGTTGCCGCAAGTTTTGAATTTTATAACTTTTTTCGACGTCGTTCTTTTCACATTCAATCTTCACAAAACGAATATAGCCATGCATTTACACACTAGCACACTAAGCCCCGCCCCTCTGACCACGCCCACTTTCGTTTTTCGCGGAATTTTGATTTTCTTCCGAATTTTCACTTTTTTAGGCTGTGACAAGCGGCCCCGCCCACTAATGGAAGCCCCGCCCACTTTTCAAAATGATGCAGATCGGCGAGCTAGTGACCGTACTAGCAGGTTATGGCCTCTCCCGTCACCCGGAACAAAGTTTCCCTTTTTTGTGGTCTTTCCCTTTTTTTTCATTCTATGTGACGGAGGTGTCCGATTTGGTTTGAAAAGTGTCCGATTAAAGTGAAAATGGTATACACGAGACGTTTCCCATGTGGTAAAAGTAGTGAGGGTAAGAGGACTAACAAAAACGATTTCGAAGTGAAAATCGAAAGCAGTGAAGATGAGCAAAAGATGCAGCAACGTTGGTGATAGACATTAGAGAATGTAGCAAGAAGACAAGGTTGAGAACCATGAGAGAGAAACAAAATACCCAATAGGAGTCACAGAATTTTTAACTATTGTCACTATGATGTTCACTTTCAGCGAGAGGCGGACAGTGCGCATTTGGGTTCCACTCCCAGTACTTTCGAGCTTTACTGTCGAGGTATACAAAAACTGATGGCGATGAAGTGGCATGCAGTACCCTTGTCCCGCCGGTGCCTGGGTATCAATCCCGGATCGACTCCTGCCCAGGCCAACCAAACCTTCTACCGCCAGGAGAAAGAAAATTGGTGCCAGATTTGTCTGGGAGGATAAAGAACACGTACTTGTACAGGTCAAGTAAGTCTTCGTATAGGGCACATTGCATTCAATAAGCACTCGATTGTGAAGGCAGGAAGAACGCGCGCCGCATCCAAAAATGTATAGATCAACGGCGAATACTTTATTTTATCAAACTTGCGGTAACTGGGCTCATCCATGCAATATGTCACACATTACTGACGTAAAAATAGATCAGGACCATCGAAGAATTTTAGGAGTATAAAGTTGAAAATTCAACAAAAATGCACACCTTGCAAGAATTCTTCCATCTGACAGTAGACCAGCGATTGATACACCGGCATGAGTATCAATTTCATATATTTTCTTCTGGTGTGAGCAAAGTTCATTCTGAGCGCGCTGAAAAAAGGGTGAATGAAAACAATCTGTCCTTGGCGGCTTCGCGATTGCAAATACTTCTCGGCTTTTCATTAAACGTGTTCACGCTGCTCATGCAAATCCTATTGAAATGCGCTATTACTAGCTTTGAGCTACAGCTAGCAGCTCTAGATGTATGGATAGATGATATGGATGTTAAATCTAACAATGAGCGCAATCGCCTGAGCCAAAATAAAGTTCTAAGGGCGCAACTAATAAATCTAGAAGATTCGTTAACACATTGACGACCGCGTGAGACACATTGAATGCACGCGTTGTAGGCCACGTGGGACCGCGTGCATAGTATACGACTCACGATCAACAAATCCATATCTTTCACTAGTACATGGTTTTTAAATTAGTTTCTCCTACTCATTGTA